ACACACACACACATAAAATTCTGCATTTTATTTTCAGATAAAAATATCAGGCGCTATCTTCTTTAACTTTGGCCCACCCGAGGAACCCATTGAAAACAAATAAATATTTAAAATATAAAATTAGAGAAAAATAGATGTCAGCAATCTGGCCATACTGCTGAGAATATTATTTACTTCATTATGCTAATGTAACACGCAATAACTTGTATTCAATAAATAGTTCATATTTATGATTATGTTCAGAAAGTGATCTATTTCATGAAAATATGTCTTACCAAGAAATGAAAATCTCATAAAAAGTAAGTATATATTAAAATAATCACTTTTTATTATATTGAATGTTACATAATTTTTCGTAATAAAAAATCGTAACATCATATAAGGAGCAGATTTTCAAAATGTATTTTATCTAAGATTTCATTTTTTGTGTTAAAAATGGCATAGTGTTCAGTGTTGAAAGACTCATATTTTAAGCTACTCTACAATGTTCTGAAAGCATTTCTACCAGGGTTTAAAAAAAAAATCGATTCTGAGGAAATTAAAAAAAAAATCTGGATTTTTTGCGCTTTTTTTCTTTACAGTCCATAAATGATAAGCAAAATTCGCTATCCAATATAATACATAACATAATTATATTGTGAATTAATTTCAATTTAATTTATTTGATTTAATTTATTAATTAATATAATGAATACGCACACATATTTGTATAAGAAACATTTCATACCAAATCAGTCGGGTTTAAGCCCAATCATTTTTTATTCAATTTTTTTTGTAAAAAATGGTTTTATCACATGTTAAGTCCTAAAATTTTCGTTATGTATATATATTTTACAAATTTGCTAAAAAAAATACATAATAATACACTCAATACATTAATACATTTATCTTTACTGCAATTATATTTGAAGGATGAAAATTAAAATTAAAAATAAATTAAATTAAACAATTTTTCAATTTTCTAAAAATTGAGAAAAAACTTTATCATGAGATTTCAAAATATTTATTATGTATAATAGATTTTTTGTAAATTTTTTCAAGAAAATAGTATTTTTGAGAAATCAAATTTTGTACGTTATATTATAACTTAATAAATAATTGAAGGAAAAATCATACACACAACATAGCTTTTAATAATTTCACGTAAAAATTTCAAAGCAAAAATTTCAGTTCTTATTTGTTTACTTTGCGATTTATAAAACATAAATTTGCCAGTTTGAAATTTTTTAATTTTGAAAAAATCGAAATTTTTTAAAATTTCTGTATAAAAAAACCTTGATCTTTGACCCTTACACATCAAAAACTTTTATTATTTTGAACATTCCATCAGCAATTGCGCTTTGTGTCATTGATGCAATTTCAGCTCTGAGCACTATTTCATCTTGGGTTTTTCAAGTTTTTTTTTTGGATTGAGCCCATCTTGTTAAACCCTGATTTCTACACCAATTTATGTGCTAAAAAAAGAATCTAATACAAAAGGAAAAAAAAATTGTCAACAGAGAGCCAACGTGGTTAACAGTGCGTAAATTTTATTACTTATTCTGAACTGCAAACGTTTCGACCAACGATTTCGGTCCTTTTCTATGCAAATTACATAATAACAAAACTCAATCAGCGGGCGAAGTAAGAGTCAACCACATTTTTTAATTTTTACATAAAATTATATATTGTATTCAACGCGATGAAACATCACGCCAAAAAATAATAAATAATAAAACTATAAACTAATACATTACAAGTAACAAGTTTCGGCTACCAGTTTGAGCCCTCTTCAGACATTAGTACAATAAAAAATAACAGAATAAATTGAATTGTCGCAAATATTCGCATAATCCGAGTAATCACAGTTCGGGTGAGTCTCGATCTCGAAACATTATTTCCGTATGGTTG